TCTATCTAACATGAGCAGTGTATGTGATTTCTCATTTTTTAGTAAAGACATTTAAAAAGAAAGAGGTGAAATTCATTTTACCTGTGTATTTTATTTAACCCAGGGGAGCTAAAATAGTGCTACTTTAGCATATAATCAACATAAAAAATATAATTAAGATGTCTTACCTTCTCTCTTCTTACTTAGCTTAAAAATCCAGGGTAGATTTTACTTTCTCAACACATTATAGTTCAGACTAGCCAGATTATATGTTCTCAATAGCAAGATGTGAATAGTTGTTTGATACTGGACAATCTAGGTCTAGATGGTGCTATAATATGCAGATATACCAAAAAGACAGGTCTTGGAAAAAGGAGTGTTTGTGTGTGTGTGTGTGTGTGTGTGTGTGTGTGTGTGTGTGTGTGTCTTAATTACATGCCAAAAAAAGTTGCCTATAGTAACATGACTTGGAGGGAAAAGCATCATCTAAAATTAAAAACACTTGAAGTAAATTTATATAGTCCTCCAATGACATCTTTCCCCCATACTACCTTTACTGAGCAGTGTTCCAACTTGGATACAAACATTTTTATACATCATCTAAGTGGAAAAATTCAGTCTTGGGCTGCAGCCTTCAATTTGGAGTGTGAATTCTTCTGGAGGCTTATAAGTATAAGGTCTGCCCAAAATTCCTGCTAGGGCTACAAGGTCCAGTAAGGTAGCTAGCCACATGTGACTACTTATAAAAAGAATAATTAAAAATTCAGATCCTCTGCCAGAGCCTGGTGGCACAGGTCTGAAATTCCAGAACTCTGGGAGGCTGAGGCAGGAGAATCACAAGTTCAAGCGCAGGCTGAGCAAATTAGCAATGTAGCCAGACCCTGTCTCAAAAGAAGAAAAAAAAAATTGAGGATGCAGCTCAGTGTGAAGGCCCTGGATTCAATCTCTAGTAAATGAATAAATAAATAAAATTGGCTCTGCACTAAGTACCATGGCACATGGCTATAATCTTAGTGGCTTGGGAAGCTCAGGCAGGATTTTCAGTTCAAGGACAATCTAGACAACTTAGCAAGATCCTATCTCAAAGTCAATAAAAATAAAAAGGTCAGGGATGTAGTTCAGAGCAAACACCTTGGGTTCAATCCTCAGTAACACACATATACACACAGATTCATATTCTCAGGCACCCTAGCCACATTTCAAGTGCTCAGCAGCTGATGTCTAGGATGCTGTTTAGGACAGCTCTAGAGAATCCCATTCTGATCTACAACTTGCTTGTGTTCTTGCCTAAAACTTCTTGGCCAGAGGAGGGCGTGGGGCTATGCTTCCCATTACCAGTCAACATTGCCCTCTGCTATTAACAGCACACCCACTGACCCAGATGCCTTTTGAGTTCTACGGAATTCTGCCCAAATACAGTCAAAGGTGTATTACTACAACAAAACTCCTACGCTCTCTCCTTAGCCATGGAAATAGCACTTGCACAGATAAAAATGAGAAGTATATGTAGAAGATGAAATTGGCTCATTCCAGTGATCAATAAAATTCATCCAACTAATATAATTTGAATTGTTTTTAAAACCCTTATTAAATCTGTGTTTCTCCAAAATCCATTGTTACTAGATTTTGAGGTTTCCTTCCGGTGGTGGATTCTGGGTTCTTTCTGTCCTGAACAAAGAATTGGTCAAGACAACCCAAATGGTTGTAAGGCTTTCCATTCATTAAAGGTAGGAAAAAAACCCAGGCTCTGCAGAGCAAGTTTGGGCCAAGGAAAAGTAGGAAAAGAATACACCCTACAGCATGCTGTAGGAGAGAGCACAGTGGCAAAAACTCAGTGTGAATGGTCCTTTTTGTATTACCTACTCCTCAGGCTGATGTGAGGTCTAGGCCATCCTATAGAAAACCTGCTCCAGTTCACATGAAGTCCATGTGCAGGCCTTTGGACATTGTTTTGTGCATGTGTCCTAGGATTTTCTAATTAACACAGTCACACCTACTTCCCCAGCCAACTTTGCCATGCCCAAATCTCCTGTATCACTCTCAATAGCAAAGAAATCCTGAGCAAAAAGCAATGCTCGAGGCATCACAATATTCAATTTCAAAATATACTACAAAGTCATAGTAACAAAAACAGCATGGTACTGCTGCGGATTTAGCTCAGTGGTTTTGCCACCTGACTCACAACCACAAGGTCCTGAGTTCAATTCCCGGTACAAAAAAAAAAAAAAACTAGCATGGTACTGGCACAGAATAGGATATGTAGGCCAATAGGATAGAATGTAAGACACAGAAACAAACCCATACAACCATCTCCTTCTTGACAAAGGGGTCAAAAATATGTTGGAGAAAATAAACCCAGTCCTCTTTTTTTGTTTTACTAAAGATTGGGCCTTTGTTCTGAGCTATATCTCCAGCCCTTTGTAAAAAATTTTTTTATTTTGAGACAGGGTTTAAAAGAGCTCAAACTTGCATCCTCCAGCCTCAGCCTCCCAGAGTGCTGGGATCACAAGCATATGCCACCATACCCAGTGAAAGATAATGCTATTAACACATGGTGCTAGGAAAACTGGATATCCTCTTGAAAAAGACTGAAACCAGATCCCTCTCATCCTGCACCAAAATCAACTGTAAATCAACCAAAGATTTAGCTGTAAGTCCTGAAACGTTGAAACTGCTAGAAGAAAACAGGAGAAACACGTAAAGTCACACAGAAACAGGCAAAGACTTCCTGAATAGGATTCTAGTATCAGCAAATAATAGCAACAATCAACAAATGGGGCTACATCAAATTAAAAAGCTTCTACAAACCAAAAGAAACAATTATCAGAGTAAAGAGATACCCTATAGGAGGAATTCTTTGTGAGCTATTTGTCTGAGGATTAATATCCAGAATACTCCATAAAGAACTCAAAAACAACACACACACACCCCACAAAGAAAATTAATAGGCAAATGAACAGACACTGTTCATTTCACCAGTAAGTATAGGAAGTATATGAAAACATATTCCACATCTTTAGCCTCTAGAGAAAGGCAAATCAAACCACATTAAGATTTAGCTCAGTGGTGCCAAAGGGGGAAAAAAAAGTTTTCCCTCTCACTACAGTCAGAAAAGTCAGAATGGGTGTCGTCAAGAATACAAAAGCGCAAATGGGCCGGGGATTTAGCTCAGTGGGTCCAATGCCTGCTTCGAAAGAACAAGGTCCCGAGTTCGTTCCCTGGTACCAAAAAGAAAAAGGATACAAAAGCAATAAATAGTGTCCAGGAGGGGGTTAAAGGGAAAGGAACCCTTCTACTGCTGTCGGTGGAAATGTAAATGAGCACACCCAATATGGAAATCAGTATGGAGGCTCTTCAAAAACTAAAAATGGAGCTACCATTTCATCTAGCTATACACTTAGGTATATTCCCAAGAGAAATAAAAGTCAGAATACTATGGAGATACCCGTATTTATTGCAGTACAATTCACAATGCTTAACTTATGAGACCAGCCTAGGTGCCTCTCACTAGATGAATGGTTAGACAAAATCTGGTACATATACACAATGGAATATTATTGTCATAAAGACAAACAAAATCATCTTATTTGCAGAAAAAAATGATTGGACCTGGAGATCATCATGTGAATCAAAATAGCCAGACTCAGAAAGTCAAATATTATGTATTTCACCTTATGCATGAAATCGAAAGGGGGAAAGGAAAAGAGGTCAGGAAAGTAGAAAGGAGACTATCAGACAATAAGGAGATGAAGAGAAAAGGGGTGAAAATAATCAAAGTGTGGTATATAATGTGCAAATATGCTAAAATGAAACTCACCATTCTGTATAACATGCACCAATAAAAAAATTAACTTGCTCTTCCCAATCATTTCCTTTTTTGCAGAACTGATCATAAAATTTCACATTTAAAAATGAGAGAAAAATTGTAAACTTCTAACTTCGTTAGAGATGTATGTAGTAAGCCTAAACACTTCAGACTAAGGGATCTCTAAAATTAGGTTTACTGAGCCATTGCAAATGCGAGCCAGGAAAAGAAAGAACAAGGTCCTGGGACAAGTTCCCACAACTACCAGCAGCAGGGTTAAGTAAAATTGGAAAAATGCCCATAGGACCAGAGAAGAACTTGGTCCCTGGGGTCTTGAGACTAGGGTTTCAATATATACTTAGTAAGAATGTGGAGCAGATTTGGGAGATTTGGGAGAGTTTTTAAGTTTGTTTTTGGCCAGAAGCTGTTAGCTGAATAGGCTCTTTTCATCTGTAACTACTTCCGGGCATTTCAGAATTTTACTTGTATTAAATGAAAAAAATTTAAAAAGCATAAAATACTTAACAGTAGGATAAAATTCAATGAGGTACGTGTAATGAAAATATTTTAGGTTAAGATAAAACTCCCACGAGGAGCATAAAAATTCAAGGTAAAAGCCCCAAAACGTAAAATTTTCGGTTACAAGTGCATGACTGTGTCAAACCTCCTGCGAACATCCTTTGCAGTAATTTTGGGCCTCGGGGTTGGAGAACGACGCGCGTGGTCTGGAGAGTGGGTACTGCCCGGCAAGCGGCTCCACAGGTTCGGGTCGGTGAGCTCGTTCCCCAGGACTCCTGGCTTTTGCCGGGGCTCGTTTCAGGAAGGAGTGGGGAAGCCCAGCCCCGCGCCCTCCCCTTCCCCAGCTCTCAGGCCACGCGGCCCGCTGGCACCCGGGACCTTCCTGCCGCCTCTGTAACAGCATGTTTATACGGACGTAGGCCGGACGTTAACTTGCACACACTCTACCAAATCATTGGTTTACTTCATTATCTATACCTCGTTCCCTATTCCACTTTGTAAGGTAAAATCCACAAAAACAGGAAAGCCCTCCAGTGATTTCCAGGCCACACCCCAAGGAGCTACCCCGCCAGCCCTCGACACCCAGTCCGAGGCGCTCCTCAGCCTCCGAAGCCGAGGCTGCCGAGCATTCCGCCGGTCACGTGCCCGATTGAGGACGAGCCATCGAGTCAGTCCTCCAGTGTCCTAGAGAGGGCTAGGAAGTGCCCTGGGGCCGACGGGGGTGCTTCCGGCCTGGCCGTCTGCGCTTTTGTCCCGCCGGCGGCCGGGCTCCCTCGGCGCCGCCACAGCCAGTACGTGAGTCCGGGGCCGCCCGCGCTTCCGCCCCCGGGCCCTCCCTGCCACGCCCTTCCTTCTTGGCAGGGTCCAGGCTGCCCCTCGGGTCTTGGGCGGGATCTGGGGGAAACCAAACCTTCCACCACACATCTCTGGAGGCGGGTTCAGGAGAGGAAAGGGGGAGAAAGACCTCGGGCCTGGCCCCAAGGGGTAGGATCCGCCCCTGGACAGCCTGGGAGCTCACTGGGCCTCGCTCTGCTTTCTGAGCAGGCCGGGGTCAGGTTAGGTCTGCCCGGTGCACCGGCAAGGGCCTGAGCCCCGCCACCGTGCTCCTCAGCTTCACATTACTGTCTCTAGTGAGCAGGGAGCAGAACCCCGAAAATTAGCTCTTTTAAAACACTACTCTGTATTTTTAAAAATACCACTCCCTCGCCCCCCTTCGCAGTTAAGTTTAGCCCTCGGACTTGGGAAAAACCGTGCGAGAGGGATACTTAGAGGTGATCTGGTCCGAGTCTGTCGCCCCCTATTCCGGTGGAAGGGTGGTGTTGAAACTGCTGTCGCAGGTGTGGTCGGAGCCCCCAGAGAGCGTGCACTGGATCTCGCCTTGGGGAAGCATCTGTGTCTAAGCTAACGTGCGCGCCCTAACAGTTAGCTGAGGAGGTGACTAGGAACAGGACTTGGAGGCTTCTGGACGCCGGAAATGCAGAGTGGGGATGTAAAGCAAACAGGTCGCAGGGCGCCATCACTGGGTGTGTTGCTATAGGAAAACAAGGCGGCCAGCAGGACTTAGCCAGCCAGGAATATTGATGTGTAGGCGGCCAACGGGACTTACTACTATTTAAAATAATTTTGAACATGTAATACATTCAACATAGTTTCCATATTAAAAGCGATAAAAAGTTGGTGAAAAGACCTTCATTCACTTTTCTCAGCTTCATTCCTAGCTCAACCTCCTTAAATAACCACTTTTGTTGATTTGAGTGTATCCTTCCAGGATTTCTTTATTCAAATACTGACCAGTGTAAACATAATTACTCCCCCCCCCAACACACCTTATTTTGACAGGTGTTAGAATACAGACCAGTCTGCCCCATTGCTTCTACCAACTATTATTATATTAACAATATTACAGGTTATTTTACACATTGGAAGACAGCAAGTTTGTTTTACAGTGCTGTGGTATTGGATTGGCCACTGTTCAGATGTTTTGGATGTTCATAATTTTTAGATCTATATGGGGACACTTCCGTTTCTTTTTTTTTTTTTCTCTTCAGATACTGAGGATTGAACCCAGCGAATGCTAAGCTACATCCCCAGCCCGATTTTTTATTTTTTATTTTGAGAGCATCTCAGAGTGTCCTAGGGTGGGCTTGAACTTCTGATTTTTCTGCCTAGTAGCTGGGATTATAGGAGAGCCCCTCTCATAGGCTGTTTCCAGCTTTTCTGTTAACCTTAAACAGTGGTATATTGAATGGCTTTGTTCTAGGGTAAAGTTGTTGGATTGTTTGTTGTGTGGTACTAGGGGTTGAACACAGGTCTTCAACACTGAGCTACATTCCCAGTCCTTTTAAAACAATTTGTGAGACAGAGTCTCACCAAGTCGCAAAATCTCTAAATTGCCCAAACTGAGTTTGACTTTTGCAGTCCTGCATCAAGCTCCCAGGCATTCCACTACAACACTTACAAGGCCTCAACCTCCTGTAAGGGCCTTTCAGGTGTACCACTACGCCCCTCAGTTTAGGGTAAGGGATTTTTTGTTTTAGGGGGGCCGGGTGAGAGAGGGTATTGGTATGTAGCCCAGGCTAACCTTGAACTCACTGCCTCAGCCTCCAGAGTGCTAGGATTATAGGCACGCACCACCATGCCCAGCAGGTAAAGGTTTTTAAGGAGGGGACTAAACAGTTACATTTTTTGTTTTATATTAACTCAGCTAGTTATTGACAGATTGATAAATATGTCAAGTCATTATTATAATATTTGTGTAAGGAGTTTATAGAACAAATACAACTAAGTAAAAATTAATCTTTCCCTCCTGAGACTTATGTATATGATGTTTAGTCCTACACTGGCCTAATAGGCTAGCTGTATCCATGATTCTCTTCAAACTAATTCCTTCCTCCTTAGGTTTAGAAAATCAACTTACCTTTCAGATTCTCTTTTTCTTACCTTCTTCTGTGGAATGATGAGAAATCTCTTCTCCTTTAATGAGGTACTGGAATATTCTATTACATTTTTTTTCAGTTTAGGGAAAAAAATCACCTTTGATCCTTATTTCTACTTTTGAGCAATAGAAACAACTCATGTTAATCATTTACAATTCAGATATCCATAAACTAAATTCCAGAATAACAAGAACACAAATCATAATCTTCTCATCTTCAAATCACTTCTTTCACTCACATTTTAGTTCCATCTTTCATGTGGCCAGATAATCTTGATTTGGTAAGCATTTTATGATCGCATTCCTTTTTTTTCTTTCTCTGTCCGTCTCCAAATCAAATACAAATAGCGAAGAATTTCAGATACAGAATCCTAGTTTGACACTTGAAATCATAGATTGCCTTGTAAATATGGCTGGACTCTGGAAATTCAAAGTAGCTGCTGGCATGTTGCATCTGTTTTTTTTTTCTTGCAGTCCATTAGTAGGAAAGGATTTCCAGCCAGAGTGAGGCACAGGTGCTAGTTAGGGAGTTGCCTAGACTTTTGAGAAGTGGCTCCTAACTCTTCTGGAGCAGAGACAAGAATTAAGTGCAAGTTCTTACTATCTGTATGAACTTTTTTGTTTTGGGTGTTTTTTTTTCTGAGACAGGATCTCCCTAGGTAGTTCTGGGTGGGCTTGAACTGATTATGTAACCCAGGCTGGCCTCGAACTCCTGGTGTTCCTCTTGCCTCATCCTGCCAAGTGCTGGGATCACAGGTATGCACCACCATGCCTGGCTCTGTATGAACTTTGTAGGCACTGATAACAGAATGTGAACAAGCACAGAAATGACCAGAGGTGTGGGTCACGTGTCATTTGTAAGGAAGGTAGAACACTGTGGCTGACTTTTGACTGATGTAACTGGGCTGATACTGTCATGCTTCCAGTTGGTTAAAAACTGGTTAGAGTGAGATTTCCCATTTAGTTTTTAGAACTTAAAAGAAATTCAGTCTTTTCTTGTTCTCTGTATGAACAAGTTGTGATTTTGGAGTAATTCTTGTGTCATTTTTTCTTATAAAAAAACACATACAGGAGAGTAGAGTTACTACAATGAACTCCCATAAAACCATCATTCAGATTCAGTAGTTTCAGGAATCTGCTATATTTGTTTCATCTTTCCCTTTTTATTTTTTTTCTTGGTTGAGATATCTTCAAGAAATTTCCAGACACCATGCCACTTTTCCCTATCATACTTCAGTTAGCATTAAAAAAAATAAAAGACACAATAGCTACAGTACCATTATCCCATCTTAAATTAACTTTGCTTCCCTGGTGTTAACTAATAGAGGTTGGCAAACTACTAGACTTGAAATCTGTTCTTGTATGGCCCACAAGGTAAGAAAGGTTTCTATATTTTTTAAAGCAAGGTTAAAAATAAGATCGAAATAAGCAAGTCTTACATGGTCCATAAAGCTTTTTAGTGTTTGCTGTCTGGCTGTTTACAGAATGTGATCACAACCCCTTATTTAATGAAATAAGTGATCTTCCAAAATGTATATCTGCATTTGCTACTCCTTTGCCTAAAATTCCTCAGGGTCAAGTCTGGACTACTTTATATAAGTCAGCCCCTCATGCAGCCCTTATTTTTGTCTGCCTGATAAGCTTTGCCTGCTGCCCTCTACTCCAAATGTCTGAAGGGTGCTGAACATCAGTTGCTTTGTGCCTGCTCTTTCCTTTGCTAGGAATACCTTCTCCTTTTTTCACAAAACTCTTAGCCCTTCAGGGCCAAATGTAACTCCTATAAAACTAAACAACTATTGGAGGAAAAACTGCAGGGATAAGAATGAAGAGAGGCTATTGCAGTAGTTCAAAAGAAGGCTTACACTAAGTCCTTAGCAAGATGGGGTGGAGGTAGAGGTGGGAGCTTGACACCTATTTGGGCAATAGAGTCAGGTGATCTAATGGCAATTTTGGATGTAGCTGAGGGAGATACAGGTAGAAGAGCCCACCTTTGATTTAGACAAAGGGGAGGGCAGGGATAGATAGGATTGTCTATAATTGAAGAGAGGCTCTAGGCTACAGATAAATATCTAAGAGACAGCTTGTAGAAGTGATAGGAGCCTTGTATATACCTAGTATATAGGTGGGGCTGCAAATGGAGAAGTATCCAAGTTAGAATCTAGGAGGAAGGCTCAGGATAGAATGAGAGGGCCAGGAACATCCAAGGGGCAGCAGCCCAGAGCGTAAGCAAGCTAATGTGGCTTGAAGAATCTAATGCCACATGGTCTGAAATCAGACTGAGTAGGTGAAGCTTGAGGGGAGATAGGGCATCAAATCTATATTTTTAAAAGCAGGAAGCAGGATGGTGAAAGTAGTACCTACAGGGAAAGGTATAGTTGATGTGATTGTAATTTACTTTTTGACATCTTAAAAAAACTTTTTTATCTGAAAATAATTTCAGGCTGGGGATTTAGCTCAGTGGTTCCGTCGCCTGCCTTGCAAGCGCAAGGACCCAAGTTCAATCCCCACTACAAAAAAAAAAAAAAGACAGCCTTGAAAATAATTTCAAATTGCAGCCTGCCTTGCAAGCACAAGGACCCGAGTTCGATCCCCGGTACCAAATAATAATAATAATAATAATAATAATAATAATTTCAAGTATGCAAAACAATTTCAAGAATAAGAACAGTAAAAAGATACTGTTTATTCAAATTCTCCTGAGGTTAGCATTTACTGCATTTTGTCCTCCTCGTCTCTCATACATCCAGTTTTGACCCTGAATGCATTTGAGAGTAACTTACATACAGTAAGCTGCATCCCAGCCTTTACTCTGATAATTGCAGAATGTGTTTTTTCCAATTTTATCATTTCTTCCAC